CCTATCCCCCTCGTGTGGCCTTGGCAGTTGATGTAGAAGAGACATGAAGAAGAGGGGACACATGTTGATGTAGAAGAGACATGAAGAAGAGGGGACACATGTTGATGTAGAAGAGACATGAAGAAGTGGATTTTGAACAATAGGTGACCTTTACAATCAAATAAGGATGAACTAAAGAAACCCTGATCCTTCAAACAGTAAACAACATGAAGTATTATCTAAAAGGCTCTTTACCCTCCGGTGAGAAGATGGTTGTTCTTGAATCATATCGACGGGACTGAAAGGAAACAGAAAAAACATGAAAACTAAACTTACTTATCTTTAAAATAAAGAAGATGACCGAGGCAATAAGGACCATTTTGTCTTCGGACTTCTCCAGGGACAATTCGTACTGTAAGCTTGCTTTAAGAAGAATATACTTCAACCTTCAACTTGTGGTCTTGACTTGAAATTGGTGGATACATATAAATAATGAAGATTCTTCCACAAAGGAATAATTTGAACCTTTGTGTTGAGATCTTTTGAGGAATGTACACACTTTCTAAGTTATGCAGCATCTACATGACAAGCTATTTTAGCTTTTTGTAGACAAATAACTGAAATGTGTTTTTTATTTTACAAAGCCCAGGTCAAAAACAAGACCATTGTGATCTTCAGGGGGACATCGGCAGTTTGTTTTCATGGCTCGAGTCTAAACTAAACAACGTCGACAAGGAACTGAGTTTCTGCATATGAAAGTATTCCAAATCAGGAGTTAAAAAAAATCTGATTTCCTTTGATTTGTGCTGCATTCAAAAAACATTTGGGTCAATTGAATTTGCAGTGTGACGGACATTCAACGTTTAGTTCCACGAGACTGACGTCGTCTCTTTACCACCTTGCTGTTGGGAATCAGGTGAAGTATCCGTTTGTCAAGTTGGTTTCTGTTTTTTTTATTTTTTATTAAATAAATCAATAATAACGAAACTGTGACACAAAGCAACAATTAGCAGGAACTTATTAAACGGTGGCACGTCACACATTTATTGGAAGGGAGACAGCTGTTAGTGTGTCATCTCAGGCGGTGCGTCATAGTCTGGAAAATGTCTCATTCCTGGAGAATGTTTTTTCCATTTCCACTAGGAATTTTCACAACGAGTTTGGTTGTGAAATGTCAAATTGTCACCCACTCTTCAAACTTTGAAGTCCCGCCTAAAGACCCACCTCTTTTCCCTGGCTTTCGAGTCAGTCCGAGCTATGCTTTACCTATTTGTATTCTTGTAATATTATATTTTGTTATAATGATATGTTTGCACTTTGGCAAACCCTCCATTTTTAAAATGTGCTAAAATAAAGTGAATTGGATTGAAATACTGTATTCTTAATTTATTTTACTAGCCCTAAAGTAATCTTGGTTCCAAAAAATAAACAAAAATCAGAAAGGAATTGTTTGTCTCTTACAGTAAAACAATCATTAAAGGAAACGACTTCCAAAATCTTACAAACACCACCAATCGTGCTGTTTTGGGGTCATTGATGATACTGCTTTCATCCGGGTTTTTTTTTTTACATTTTAGGTTATAAAACAAATCAAGATCAAATTGCCTTCTTTCATTGCACAATCATCAGGAATCTGAGAGTTAGATTAAAATAATCGAGAAGCAAGGGAGGGGGGAATGTAATATTGGCTGACTAACTAGAAGTCCTAGAAAAGACAACTTAAACTTAACTAATGTGCATTTAAAGAAAAGAGGAATCTTTTGGCGAAAAAATTCAAAAGGACCATGGGGTACAGGAATCCATTTTGGTTTCAAGACCCTGGTTCACGGAGGGTACCAAAAATGTCCTAGAAAGACAAGGTAAACTTAACTATGTGCATTCAAAAATAAAAAAGAGGAATAGTTTCGGCGAAAACTAAAAACAAGGTACCATGGGGTCAGATTAGAATGTTCTAAAGGGGGGTTCGTTTGGCATGAAACACTTGAAATAACTAAAAGGACAAGTTAAACAAGAAAGTAGAAAGAAAGTGAGGTGAAAGAAAACTATTTCTGCTAAAAAGTTAGCAATGATTGAGAGTCAGACCTAAACATTTCAGGTGTGTGTATCTCACACTGCTCTGTAACTTTTATTCATGTATCTTTGCTTTTAAATGAGTGTTTTTAAGTGTCATTTTAATGTAAAGCACTTTGAATTGCCTTGTGTTGAAATGTGCTATATAAATAAACCTGCCTTGCCTTGCCTAACTAAATATACTGATATCTATCAATATATGTCAAACTCTACATTTCCAGAGGACATCAGCAGTTGTCCTAGCTTGAGTCTAAACTAAACCACTTGTCAAGGAGTTGGTTTGGTTTTTGTTTTTATCTCACATCATAATGCAAATCAACATTAAACATTTAACTCACCATTTTTGCAGCCGGCAGTCAAACTCTTCCACTGTAAAATAAATAAACACACATTTAAAGAGATTATCTCTACAAAAGTAGTGAAGCTAACTGAAGCTAACAGTTAGCTAAAAACATTTAGCAGCATATTCGCTTGGTCATCTGCGGCAGGTTGTGAAAGTGAAAGAGATAAAAACAAACGCTTAAAACAATCATAAAAAAACAAGCTAGCTAACCATTACTAAACAGTTACATGAGTAAATAATAAACTCTGATATTATGTTATATTGTTCATGTTTAATATGCTTTAATAAAAGGCTCGTGCGTAGCTGTTGATACAAACGGAGATGAATCAACAAAAATCTATTCCCCCTTCTGGGCTGGTTTCTTAAACACATAGGTAGATAGCGACTAGATATGTGTATTATAATGTCACACACAGACCAATAAAGAAGACTACTACGGTAGATTAAGACAGTCTTATGATCTTATTTTGTAAAAAATTAAAATGCTTACCGCTTAGAGAGCTTTCTGTATGGCGCGATGTAATGACGTCACCGAAAAGCGTTGTGTCGACGACATATAGGCGCGACACTTTATCTGTTTATGTATTTAGTTATTCGTTTAAAAACGTAATCAAATAGAACATTTGTATCAGAACATGTCTGTATTCGCGCAAGGGAAAGAAAGTTGCTGAAAGACTGTGTTATGTATTTTAATTGCAGATGTAATGAAAAGGTGAATCAAAATAAAAGCAGATCAATATATTACAACTGGCATTTTAATTTGCAACCTGTGGTTTCTGTTTTGATGTATTTGTACTGTCTTCTTTAGATATAACAACACCTCAAGTCTCTTTGGCAGTGGGAGAGAAGGATGGGTATTTTTGTAATTAATTGTTTTTACCACCAGGGGGCCCCCGTCTCTTGAGTGTGTGGTCAAATAAAGCCAACTTACTTTCACTTCAAAGTGGGATACTGCACCCTGTTTATAAAACTGACAGTGGAGAATCATCTTTAGTGTGTATGTCCTTAAAGCTGCTAAACAGCTGATTTATGGTCAGTGAAGTAAATCAGGAGTTTAGCTGAGCCTGACCTCTGACCTCTCTGGTCAGCTGCTGCTGCTGGTGTTGCTGCATGATTATATCTGAGTTGGTACTGAAACAGAAGAGTTCATTTTTACCAAAGTGAATCTAAAAGAAACACATCTTGATCAGAGGGATTTATCCTGCTGACATTTTCTGAATCCTATTCAATCCTGAACACACATTTTACTAAAACATAAGAGGCGCCAAGAGGGAGGCTGTGGCTCAGTGGAAAGTGCGCTGAACTTCAAATCAGGGGGTAGCAAGTTCGAGCCCCACTGCAGTCAGCATGTCGTTGTGTCCCTGGGCAAGACACTTCCCCCCAAATTGCTCCAGCGGGGATTATCCACAGTATTGAATGTAAATCACTTTGTATAAAAGCGTCTGACATGTAATAATTTAATAAATTATAATCTGCAGTTTCCTGAGTGATGGCAAACTCAACTTGAAAACCATGGTATCTAGTATAGCTATTTAATAGACTTAAAGGTGAGCTTGTTTTGTCATATGATACATCACTCAATAGGATATTCAGTACTGTAGCTTTGTACAAAACACTTTTTGTTTATTGTTTGAGGTTTCTCAGGCCAGAGTTGCCACAGCCTGCAGTTTACCTTGAGATTATCAACAAAAATGACATCCTCACATTGTTCTCCGAGGATTGGCGCAGGGAAGTAGAGAGTTGCAGCTGCAACGCCTCAATAAACAACCCATAAAACCGAAATGTGTATTCAGGGATGAGGAGCATTCTGCGTTTTGATTTGTCTGTTGGCTCGTTGTTGAGCTGGCTTACAGACCCTCCTGCACTTTACAGCTCCTTCACCACATTTCTCTTTAAAAGGCCTCTGACACACATTGTTCTCCCTGCAGACTGTAATTTTAAACATCGGAGTTTACCCCAAAACTATCTGTTTTATGATTTCTCCCACATTGTATTGACTTAGAGGATTACGGATAAGTGATAGATGTGAACCATCCATCCCATTGGTCTGTAATTGTTTGGTATCACTAAAGAGGCTTATGTTGTTGTAACACTTATTTAGTTGCCAATGCTGGAGGCCCGCTTCAAAGGGATTTTTATTGGCCCATATAAACGGTGCCCAGCACCCAGGTGAAATATAGGATGCAGTGTTTGCCAGACACCAATAACTGTGGGGAGGATGGCACGGATCCACACATAAACCAAACATTTATACACTCGCAGTCATGCTGCCAATCTCTCCATGCAACATTTCACTTTCACATGAATTTAGCTGGCAAAATTACACAGAAAAAATCCAATTTAGTCTTTTTTCTATCCGCCTGCTGTGAAAGGTCAAACTACCCAAACTATGGATGCAACAAGTTTCTATGTGTCAATGCCATGGACGGTACACATTTCAAAAATAGGGAAATGTCACATTGATCTTTTTCATAGAAGAAATCTTTCAGTTCAAGCAGATGTTAAAAAACCCAAAATATAAGATGTTGTCCTTGAAGTGCCTATCTTATATTGTAGGCACAAACCAGCCAAGAGGACTGTTTGTATTGTTAGCTAGTTGAAAACACTGTTAGTCTAACTTCACACTGCAAGCCTAAGTGCTCACTGCTGATTTACTGCTCAGATGTCCGGGAAGAAGGAAAATTAGGGTAAGAGAGCTATCTTTTTAATTTGGGCTTTTTGTGAAGCAACGGCTGCTACTTCTGCAAAGAGATGTGTGTTGATGTTGAGTCGGAGCCAGGAGCGGTAGGACGGTGAAGTGAATGGTTCACTGAATCACATTTCACAGATGTCAAAGGCTACTTTAAACTACATCAGTCAGTGTCTCTCCATAAGACTCTGAACAGTGCGGTATTGCTACAAATGTCCAACTAGAGACATGTATTAATTTGGACAAGGAGTTCAAGAAATACCAGAGTTCCTTTAATTTGTGCTGTATTAAAAAAAACATTTGACATTCAACGTTTAATTTCTCAAGACTGACGTCGTCTTTTTATCACCTTGCTGTTGTGAATCAGGTGAAGTAACCATTTGTCAAGTTGGTTTCTGTTTTCATTTTTTTTCTTTTGTATTAATTAAATCAATAATAATAATAACGAAACTGTGACACAAAGCAACAATTAGTGGGAAATTATTAAACGGTGGCACGTCACACATTTATTGGAATTAAGACAGGTGTTAGTGTGTCATCTCAGGTGGTGCGTCATAGTCTAGAAAATGTCTCAATCCAGAAGAAAAATGTTTCCATTTCCGATATGCCCACGATACATTTTTGCAACGAGTTTAGTTGTGAAATACTATATCCTTAATTTATTTTGCTATCCCTAAAGTAATCATGGCTGAGTAACTAAATATACTGATATCTACAATTATATGCCAAACTCAAGATTCCCAGGAAAAACAAACACAATTGATCTCATGGAAATGGAAAAATTGATCGAGAAAGGCTGTTTCCCTGTTTCCAGTCTCTGTGCTAAGCTAAGCAAAGTAGCTGTTAGCTTCATATTATATGTCCAAGAAATCAGTAGCAATGTTCTAAGGCTATTAGTATGAGATGAATTTACAAACTAATCCAGGAATTTTTGCACATGGCTTCTTATTTTACAGAAGAAAAAGAGTCAAATTATTGAAAACAATTGCTGAAATTCCAAGAGGCCCCTTTGTTGTCTCTTTTTTCATGGATTATTTAAGAATCCCGTCTCAGTTTTCTCGTTGACAGAAGAGTCCCGTCCTCCGTGTGCTCCCCATCATGTCAACCTTTCCGGTCCATTGTCTCCAGCAGCCCACCGTCTGCCCTCAGCTACTGTCTCTGTTATTTTATGAGGAGCTCCTGTCATTTTGGAGGGCCTCTCGACGCGGAGTTGGATTCCACCTTTCAGGGCCGAAGGGAGGATTTCCTTTGCAAAAATGTCTGGCTGGTAAATATGTCACCAAGCTGGAAATTGATCCCATGAAAAACAGGTGGGATGTTTTCAAACTCGCCACAGGAGTGTGTGCGATCTGTTTCTCCCCTCACACACACTTGGAGGTAAAGAGTGGCGATCCCCTGCCAGCAGAGGTATTGTCTGTCAGGAGCAACACCCTGCAGCAGTTCATCTGAGATCTGCTGCTAAATCTTCCCTAATTAGATTCTCCAAAGATTCTCTGTGTGTGTTATTTCTATGCACCTCAAAAAGAGTTGAATTTAAGTGAAGCCCCCCACGGTGATAGCGAAAATGAAACCACTCTGACCTTTCAACTGATAAATCCATTACGACAGGGAGGTGTGTGTCTGAGGGCAGTATTGACTCAGCTCTGCTGTCAACACATTTCAGAGGAAAGAACCTGTTACTTATTCTTAAAATTAAGTCACAGACAATCTCCATCGTTTCCAAAACAGAAATGAGGCAACATACAACAATGACTTCTAACGAACTTCCTTAGACATTTTTCTTGTTTCCTTTGTGACTCATTTTCTACATTCGTTGTTCAAAATACAGACACATTTTTTCCATACAGTCTAAATAAACATGAAACAAAAAACATGCCTTAATGAAAACCTTGAATCTGAAGGGAGAAAAATAGAGACAACAAATAGTAAACTAAAGGAAAATAACTGAAATTAAATATAAATATACAGTGATAGCAAAAATACAAAATATCAAATTGTGTATTGAATGAATCAAAATGAAAGTATGTAAATGTTATAATAAAAATTGATTTCAAGCTGATTTCAAGATGCTATTATATAAATGAAGCTTGAGTATGTCTGAAAACAATGTCAACATATATTCACATTCACAAAGTCAGACTTCACCATGGGCTGAGTAACAGAGAGATAAAACTAATAATTAATGGGTAAACAGAACCAACATGCAGTGAAAAAGGAAAATGTGATTAGTACATTGGCCATGCTGTAGTTCAAAACAAACACATTTTAAATAGCCTACATCAATTAAAGCATCCAAATACATTACAAGCATGCATATGTTATTTAATGAAATAATGAAACAAATATCTTATAAATAAGAATAACAACTGCGACGTTTTCATGGTAAATGTAACAATAACCAATTTAAATAAAAGGACTACAATTGTGGTTTCTTATTCCTTAATGCATCTCTGTTTGTGTGTGTGGGTGTGTGTGTGTGTGTGTTTGTTGGGGGGGGGTCCTCAGGTTCTTTGGCCCCGCCCTCCTATCAGTCATGTGCTGCTGAGTGACACTGCCTGTTATCAACCCCTTCTCGATCACAACGCTTAAAATACGAAATAAAATCCTAATTTAATTGGCAATTCACTTGAAAACAATTACTGTTATTTCACACAGGAGGGTCCTCCCAAATCCCACCCACCCATAACACATATTAACTCCCACCCTGCACGCTCAGTCCCCACGTGGACGCGCATTGCAAGTGCACGCCCGGTACGACGACAGGCAGGCGATTGTAGCAGAAAAAGCAGAGAGGAGCTGTGGGAGGAGGAGGACGCCTCATACAAATACAGAAGCTCTCAGGACTACGACATACACACAAACTGGATCATATCT